AATAAACGCATAAGAAGTTAAGCGAATGCAAAAACTGCTAAAGTATACAAAGCGGGACTAAATCGCATAACTTTTGTCTTGTTTTGGAAAACTTACTGCTTGTTGATATTATGGCTGGGAGAGGACGGAGGGGGCCGGGGAAAAAACTGGGGACCGGAAATAACATACCAACGACTCCCTCCCAGAACCAGGAAGTAACTACAGACTTTTCTTCATTGCTAGCAAATGCACTGCGCCCCCTAATGGATCAGATGACTAACCTCAACACTAAGCTGGACAATGGCCAAAAACAATTGAATCAAATGGATAGAAGAACCTCAGCAACTGAGAAAATGTTGAAAAAGATGGAAAAACAGACTGAGAGCATTAACAAAAGAGTGGATGAAGCAGAGAAGGAGAGATCCTCTGATAAAATGCAACTAATACAGCTCCAGCTGGAAAGATCCATGTACGTTCTATGTTTCCATGGGATCCTTGAAGAGAAGAACAAGGATTTAAAAGAACTTTTGGGGGTTGCCTTGGTCCCATTAATGGATTATAAACAAGAAGATTTAATAAAAGAAATGGATGTGGCTTACAGAACCTATCCGGAATTTATAAAGAAAAACAAACTCCGAGGGGAAACCTAACTAAAATTCATGAAACGAGCTACCAGAGAACTGGTGTTAGTCAACAATGAATCAAGAATGAAGACATAAAAATTTTAAAAGCATCCCTTTTGAAGTTAGAAAATGGAGGAAAGGCTACAGGATGCTTACTCTCACTCTGCAAAAAAAGGAAATACCATACAGATGGTTATTCCTGGAAGGGCTGAGCTTCAATTATCAGAACAAAAAATATAAAATTGACTCTGTGCCAAAAGTGGAAACATTTATGGATCAAATGTTTAATATAAAAAAGAAGCAGAAGGAAAAGAATTTCAAACCAGATAGGGAGGAAGAAGAAGAATCCTACTCACAGGATTCAATAAGCCAAAATTCCACATCATCAGAATCATCTGAATCGGAGAAAGGAGAGGCTGCCCCCAAACTCCTGAAAACGAAGAAACGCAAGAAGACAAGACTCTAGAACTAAGACAATAGTACTAAAGGCAGTAATTATGTTAAGCTATTAAATGTGTACTATCATAATTGAATCAAATCTTTGTATCACCTGTTATATTAGGTTAAAAAGCATTATTTTTTCAACTATCCAGATCGTGACATGTATTAGACTTCCTTTCTCCAAATCCAGTAGATGAAATAGATTAGAATGATAGTTTTCCTTTCCCTATCAAGTAGATATATATGTATAAGAGCTCTTTTACCCATCACCCATAGTATTAGTGTTAGGGTATTAGTATCCCTTCCCCTATCCCATAATTGTAGTGTGTAGAAAATGCAAAAAAATAAAAAATTCCCCTTCGGGGGGGGGGGCAAAAAAAAAAGCATGTACACCAACACAAACCCATGTAAACAGTGGGAAATAGCCATTTGTAAATTGCTTTGTCCGAGACACATGTTTTGTTTAAAGAGTGCTTGGGGGGGGGGTCAACAGTGGGAGGGCTTCTAGTGTCCTGGCCCCACTGATGGATCTCCTGATGGCACCTGGTATTTTTGGCCACTGTGTGACAGAGTGTTGGACTGGATGGGCCACTGACCTGATCCAACATTGGCTTCTCTTACGTTCTTATGTTCAAATATAGATTTTATGGTAATAAGAAACTGCGTTTGTGTAGTGAAGAACCAAAGTTAACATCAAGAATGGAAAAGATGAGAAGGGGACTGCTCCAACAGGAAGAAAGGAAGCTCATTTACTAGGCAGGTCCTTGTTTTGCAGAGAGAGGGAGTTTAAGTCCATATAGCCTTGGTGTGCCTCTAGGTGGCAAGGACTGGGACAAAAATCACAGGTCCCGGTCTTCAGGAGGACTGCGGATATTCCATAAACTTAAATATGCGCGCAGATTTCATTCTTGGAGACTGGTACTACAGTGTTCATACTCCTTCAGAGAATAAATATCAGAGCCAGTTTGGTGTAGTGGTTAAGTGCGCGGACTCTTATCTGGGAGAACCGGGTTTGATTCCCCACTCCTCCACTTGCACCTGCTGGATGACCTTGGGTCAGTCACAAGTTCTGGCACAGCTGTTCTTGAAAAAGAGCAGTTTCTGTCAAGAGCTCTCTCAGCCCCACCCACCTCACAGGGTGTCTGTTGTGGGGAGGGGAAGGGAAAGGAGTTTGTAAGCCGCTCTGAGACTCCAAGTGAAGGGCGGGGTATAAATCCACTCTCTTCTACTTCTTCTTCTCTTCACAAGAGCCATTTCCAAATGTGTGTTCAAAGCCACGCTAGCTTGAACTGAAAGTACACAGCACCAAGAAGATGCTCAAGTGCTACGTCACAGGGTCCTGCTTCACCTTAGCACTGCAACGCTTTTGGAAGATCAGTGTTGTAAAGGGAAAACCAGGTTCATGGGCGAGGACTCAAATAACGTTTCTGCCGCACAAACCTATGAACCACAGGAGCGGCAGCGTTTGGAGGCTGTGAGCAAATCAGCCCGAAGTTTAGTAAAGATGCCAGATATCATTTAAGGAAATGTTAGAACATCTGGCTTGCCCCCCCCCTTCTTGCTTGTCTTTCTTTCAGCTCTCAAAACCACATTAAAAAAAAAGAATTATGGGCTCTGCTCTCACTTTCCTTGGAAGCCTTTATTATTAAAAGTTTTACTGCGATATCAAGAAAATAAATATTGACTTTTGGGGGGGGCAGGTAGTGAAACTGAAACCACAGTACGGTACGCCAGTTCAAACGCAGCCAGATACAAATTAGGCAATATTGTAAAGTTAAAAGCAGGATAATAGGAGATATTATCCAATTGTAACTGTAGAGGATCTTGCCATATTTAACTCTTGTTCCTATTAATGTCTCCCAAATGTTGCAAGATGTTAATTTTGTCTTCATCCCTTAAGACAGAGATTGGCACAAGAGCGGCAGAATTGTGGAAGCCAGCGTCAATCAAACGTTCAGAATCCTGGCAAATGAGCCACTTCCCTTGAAATATGGACGGTCACGTATGCCTTTTGCACAAGCCCTGGAATAGCAAGAGGCAGTCACTGGGCGACCGTTTGCCCCGACACAAACATGTCAATTTCACACCCGAAGCTGCGGGGCTGCATTTTGACTCGCAGCTTCGCCCGATTTCCTCCGCAGTTTCGTGATCCTGTTTTTTGAGGATTACGAAACTGCGAAGGAAATCGGGCGAAGCCGCGGGTCAAATGCAGCCCCGCAGCCTCGGGTGTGAAATTGACAAATGATGTCGGGGCAAACGGCGGCTGCACCGCGAGGCAACTCCAGTGACTTGTGTTTTTCAGAATTCAAGCAGGGAGTTTGTTAAACCCAACACACCAAAGGAAAACAGTGTGTTCTGTCCCCATGAGAGACGCATGCGCATCACCTGCTTCTGTGGATGAGATCCAACACACAGTGCAGGTCACCCACACTTCCTGCCGTCAATTCCATGCAAGGGCACCTGAGTACATTCAGACGAAGGGAAAGTAAGCCAAATCAGCAGCTTCTTTGTTGTGGAGAGAGGAACGCTAATTTTGGCCTTAGAAATTATTTTGAAAAGAGAGGAAAGTCCCTCAGGATGTGGTACAGTGGTTAAGCCTCTAATCTGGAGAATCGGGCTTGATTCCCCCTCACTCCTCCTCCACATGAAGCCTGTTGAGTCAGTCCCAGTTCTCTCAGAGCTCTCTCAACCCCACCTATTTCATAAGGTGCCTGTCATGGGGAAAGGAAGGGAAAGCGATTGTAAGTCGCTTTGAGACTCCTTAAGGTATTGGGAGGGGGGGGGAATAAAAAACGACTCTCCTCTTCTTCTGCTCTTGAAAGCTCTTATTACACAGTGAACTTGCGTGATAATGTTGAACTGCATTTCTGGAGCCCATGGATTTTTTTTTTTAAGGAAACAGATTGGCAGCAGCATCACTGTTATTGATTGAAGATGCAACAATCACCCATAGTTAGGGATCAAGAGTGGATCACAGGACTATCACCCTCTTTTACCTTGGTATGACTTAGATTCCTGATTGTATTAGAAGCACAGGGTGGACTGGCACAGAGCTTCTGAATTACTGAAAAGTGCATTTCTCAGAAATCCAAAACTAGATTCATCCCTTAAAAATACAGATTGGTATCACAGTTACTCTGCTGAAGCAGGTATCACAAAAGTATTGTTAATAATGAGCAAAACTTTCTAATTATGTATACTAGAGTCAGCATAAGAACAAAAATGACTCTCCCATGCAAAGGACAGATCTGTGACCCACCTTGCTTGGTTGCTTTGGCTTTGGCTTAATACTAATGAAGACATCCAGCTGTTCCATTAGTTGAGTTATAAAGTGTGGTTCTACATCGATTTCTTCCTTCATATCGAACATCAGCACAAGAGGAAGGCAACCCTGAAAAGATCAATTACAAAATCCGATGAAAATAGCTAGCCCGCAAAGAGTCATCACAGACTCAGAGGACACTTAATGCCTCCTGCACAGCAGTGTGTAGACTTCAGTTTGCCATCAATACAGGAAACATTTTTATTGATTTCCTCTTCCACATTTTGTACTCAAGTGAGAAACAGACAACTTGTGCAGCACCTGGACTGCCAACGATGACAGCTTTGGAAAATCTTAATAGCTCCGTGCTTCCAGACTAAAATGGACATGCCCCCCTCTTACTTTTGATTTCTCACATGACAAGATTAAAACGGAACAGAAATATTGCAAATAAGACTAGGGTGGGAATCAGTTTGCCCATCCTATGCCTTGCACCAGCCCTGTAATGAATACCAGTAACTTTGATGGTTAAGAGATAGCTGAATACACGGAGGCTGCATTCAGACGCCACCTAACATAGGGGTGTCAAACAGAGAAGGGACCTAGCCCTTTCATTGGGCCTGGCTAGGATCCTACTTGCCCATTGTCTTTCGGTCTGAAGCTAGAGGTATTTGTGCGTGGACAAGTCCAGGCATGCATGGCCCTGTCAGGGCCTGATACACTACAGGTGGGAACCAGTTTGCCCATCCTATGCTTTGCACCAGCTCTGTAATGAATACCAGTAACTTTGATGGTTAAGAGATAGCTGAATACATGGAGGCTGCATTCAGATGCCACCTAACACAGGGGTGTCAAACAGAGAATGGATGGAACTCTGTGTGCCTGTTAGGTGGCCTTCACCCCAAAAATCATTTTGGTATTTGCTTTAAAGGCAAACGGGAGGGAAAGTGAACTGATGGTAGTGAGGTGCTAAGTGAGGAATAAAGAGCTATTCTGACATTACTGAAAAGACTGAGGGGAAGCCCTTGAACAGGGGAATGGAGCAATTTTTCTGCCTTCTTCCTCCACACTGGAGCAGTCCAATCTGCATGGCTATTTCTTCACATGGGTCCTGTAACACTGAAAATAATTCTTGGGAACTGGGGCAACGCCAATGCTTGGAAGGGATGGCAGGAGAGGAAACAGATGGGCAAGAAATCCTTTGTGCCTCTAGTCAATGCTCTGTTGGATAAAGGTAAAGGTAAAGGTTCCCTTGCTTGAAAGCCAGTCGAATCCGACTCTAGAGGGGGAAAAAACCCAAGATGCAGCAAAATACAATGTTTAAGAGTACAAACCTCAAGACGTAAAAACTAATGATATTAAAACACTAGAATCTGACCTCCGTAGACTTCAGTAGTATGGTAATTTAAACATAGTCATAACACACACATCAGGTTAGCTCATCACCATGACAATCTGCTGCCTGGGTCCCCGATGCCATCGACAGTGGAATGGCCAGCATTCGAATTTAACCATTAAGCCACAGTTTAATACCACGTTTGAACTCAGCCTGCATAAATGATTCGTGAACATGCCCATTGATCGAAAATGGCCAACAGTAAATCTTCAGATGCTAATGAAAAGCTTTATCTTGATGTCGAGAAACACGCAAACCGTGACGTTCACTATGAAACTATGAACTTCACTCAAATGCAGATGTTAAATTAAACAATCGGTGTAGTGTAGTAAATTAAACAAAAATGGCAAAAGGCACCTGAACACTGGAAGAACAACGGACTATTTAGTAATACCAAGAATTTCACTGGGATGGGTCCAACCTAACAACTTCCTCAGGCAGAAAGGGAGATAATTTTTATCGATTCCCACATCCCATTGCTGATCTCCAACTTCCTCTTTCTGCTGTTTCTGGGGGGAAGGGGGTCTCCCGTCCCCAGGGAACAGCAATTTGTGAGGAATTTTGGGCTACAGCGGGAAGGAGGAGGAGAGAAAGTCACATTCTGCTGACAGAAATACTTTGACCAGTGGTTATTTTTGTTGGGATCCAAAACATTTTAGCACACGTTTGTTACACTACAAGTGAAACAATACTTCCATTATTTCCAATGCTTGAAATGTGAATGAAAAGAAAATCTATGGATTATGATGCATCTCAGATTCTAACACAGTTCTCTATTATACTTTAACAGTCATTAGACATACTGAATACTTAAGGAAGGCTTAGTATCACCTGTGAAATTATGCTAGCACTTAATCTGCTCGCTATTGTTTAGAATATTTAAGGAGCACAAAATCTTCGCTATCACAAGCAAATTAATTTTTTTTTGACATCTCTAAATAGAAAACGACTGCATCCCTTTTTTCATCTAACAGTATTAAAGACCATGGTTCTAGATCAATTTCTTCCTGCACACTGAATGCTGCTAGGTGGATTCTTAGTAATCACAGATTATATAGATAAAATGGAACCATGTCTTACCATCCAATTATAAGTGCACTTCCCTGCAGCATTGAAAGAAAGAATGGCCACGTTAATTACTATCGAAAGGGAGTACACATTACAAATTACTGTGACACAAGTCAAAATTCACAGTTGTCTCCGGGGTTATAAGAGAGGAAAACTCAATGATTCCCTGGATTCATAAGCCTCAAATTCCAATATTCTGCTTTAAAAAACCCTCAAGAAGATATTTTAAAGATTTTGCTAGCTCACTCCAACATTAGGAGCTGGTAAGCAGATTTTTGCAAAAAGAATTGCTGGGACTTGAAACCCCTCTTTTTTTTTAAAAAAAAGTATTCACTCCAGATGTATACAGTTAAAATCGTTCATAAGCTAGCAGGCTCTACCTCATGGGCACATTCCACCTGAGGTTTAGCACTTTTCAGTCCCGTTGATTTGAATAGGAAAGATTCAATTCTCCCATTGAAATCAATGGTACTTAGAAGTACTTAACATTCATTGGATCACACCATATCACCTAGAGTCTAGACAAATGTATCTACTTTAGATGCTGTATATGTACACTTAAGAAGAAGTGCGTGAATGAGACGCTCGTGTTTGGAAACATATACCGCCAGATACTCTTAATGAGATGAGGTTATAAACCTGTGCTGGGGGGGGGTGTCAAATGACCCACTAGTATGTCATACACAAAAAAACCCAATAGCGACAATCCGAGATGTTGGGGTGATTTCCTCCTCAACATACTTCTTTATGAGCAGAGTTGCCCAGAAGAGTATTCTGTAATGGGAGGACCTACCTGTAATCTGAAGTCGTATAGCCCAGATTTGGGTTGATGCCCACGGACAGCTAAGCAAGGGGAGCAGTGGCACTGCCAAGCATACACTAGAATACAGTTCCTCATGTTGTGGTGACCCCCCCAACCATAAAATTACTTTCATTGCTATCATAAGACCATCGAAAATTTGTGTTTTCCGATGGTCTTAGGCGACCCCTGTGAAAGGGTCGCGACCCACAGGTTGAGAACCGCTGCACTAGAGGGTCAACCCGGGGCCCTACCTAGCATCCATTTGATCCCATGAACAACCCTCCTCCCTTAATACGATCTGATGTTTCCCCAAAGCTTTCATGTAAATTATTTACCATGAGGTACTGTCTGGCAAGACAGACGGACTCGATAGTGCCCTGGAGGTAGACTGTGGATTTCTTCTGTGGGTTACTGGGATCGGGGAAATGGATCTGAGCACCAGTCCTCTGCATGATATGCTTAATGTTGCTGCCATTTCGACCCATCATAAAGAGATGATGCTGAGCTGCTATATCGAGTTGCGTGCTCACAGGGATCGCGGAAGCCAGGCTACCAGCCAGGTGCTCCAAAAGCATAGCAGTTCCTTCCTGTTTGTTTTTTTTGAAGGGAAAAAAAAATGAGATAAGCTTTTGCAGTCAGGTTACTCATTCTGCAAGGCAAGAGGTATTCAATTAATCTGAATTAAAAACAACACGATACCTAAACGATGTTACTGCAAAAACAGTATTAATGGGCATTCCCAGAACACTTGCATTATATCTGTGTTTGCATTCTAGCCCAAATAGCCCAGCTTAGCTCAGGCTCATCAGACCTTGAGTGTTTAAAGCAGGGTTGGCCCGGGTCAGTACTTGGATGGGAGACCACCAAGGAAGACTCCGGTTGCTATGAGGAGCAAGGCAATGGGGAACGACCTCCACTCATCTCTTGCTTGGAATGCCTCATGGATGGGGTTCGGCACAAGTCGGTTGCAACTCGATAGCACATTCTCCTCTTCAAGTTCATTGTTGCCAACAACCTCTACTATCATTGTCAAAAATATATTCCAACCTCAACCACCTTCACTAAAGTTTATAAAAGCATCCCATTTCATTTATAAAAGCATCGCTGTTCTCCCAACTTCAGTCCCACTCCTGCTGTAAAATGGGACACCCGGTATTTTTTCATCATTTGTCTTTTGTAGCATTATCCCTCAATCTGGAGTTTATACCAGAGTTGGCACGTTCTTCCAACTTGTTCTTTTAATACTGATCCAATAACAATTCAGATTGTTTTTGACTGAACAATCCCTTCCTCCACATTGTTTGTGCTGTAGCTCTCAACTGAAAGCACTGAAGGAAGAGGCGGATGGCACTGTTCATTCTCTCTGATACTTCCGCACAGGATAAAATTCCATCTTCCGTCCAACAGGTTATTAAAGTAAAGGTAAAGGTTCCCTTGCTCGAAAGCCCATCGAATCTGACTCTAGGGTTGCGGTGCTCATCTCCGTTTCCAAGCCGAAGAGCCAGCGCTGTCCGAAGACGTTTCCGTGGTCATGTGGCCGGCATGACTAAACACCAAGCCGCACGGAACGCTGTTACCTTCCCACTGAAGTGGTCCCTATTTATCTACTTGCAATTTCTTGCTTTCGAACTGCTAGGTTGGCAGGAGCTGGAACTAGAGACGGGAGCTCACTCCGTCATGCGGCACCCGGGTCTTGAACTGCTGAACTACTGACCTTCCACAGCCTGCAGTTCAGCATCTTAACCACTTGAGCCACCGCAGGTCCTAACAGGTTATTAACCTGTATTAATTTGTGTTGAGACCAGCCAGTTAATTCTCCAAATAAATCAAGTGTAGAAGATATCTGACTATAAGGTATCAGCGCTATCGGAGATACCCATGGACCTAAAATACTTTTTTCTTCCACACTTAACAGTTGTCAGGCTTTGTCAGGGTTAACAGGTCCTGCCTCGTTGCTGGCGGGGGACTTTGGGGGGGCATTCCTTGGAGGGGATGTCCTCAACACGATGACATCACACAGAAGTGACATCGTCATGCTAGGGATGCACCCCCTATTGGTGCCAGTTTGCAAGAACCATTTAAAGGGAACCTTCCCTTTAAATGGTTTTGGCAAGCGGGCACGCCAGCGCTCCACACGCCTGAACTCCAAGCGGCCAGGTGTGTGGCTACTTTGGTGTCGTGGTTAGAAGTGTGGACTCTAATCTGGGAGAACCGGGTTTGAGTCCCCACTCCTCCACTTGCAGCTGCTGGTGCGACTGTGGGTCAGTCATAAGTTCCTTCAGAGCTGTTCTCTCGAGGGCAGTTCTCGAGAGAGCTCTCTCAGCCCCACCTACCTCACAGAGTGGGTCTTGTAGGGAGGGGAAGGGAAAGGAGACTGTAAGCTGCTTTGAGACTCCTTTGGTTAGTGAAGGGCGGGGTATAAATCCAATCTCCTCCTCCTCTTCTTCTTCTCCCCCTTCTCTGCAAGATTTAAAGAGCCTTCCAGCTGATCAGCAGGCCATGTGTTCCCACCGATCAGCTGGAGGGTCCTTTAAATCTTGCAGGAGGAGAGAGGGGGGTGGCTGCTGTTACAGGTGGGGTTTCCCTTGCCAGCCAGCTGGCCAGCAGGAACCCACAAAATCAGGGGATCCCCTGCCCCCACCTGGAGACTGGCATCCCTAGGCTTTGTTTAGGTTTTATCTGAATGAGTCGGATCCAGCCAACTCTTTAATATAATCTTGTCCAGTTCTCCTACTTATTGCATCCCGTCCTACACGTTATATGAAGCTGCCTTATATTGAACCAGACCATTGGTCCATCAGAGTCAATATTGTCTATACGGACTGGCAGCAGTTCTCCAGGGTCCCAGGCAGACGTCTTCCCAAACACCTGGGACCTTCTGCATGCCAAGCCGATGCTCTGCCACTGAGCCATTGCCCCTCATCATGTCTTTTGTCTGTGTAGGTCCCATGACCCCTACCAGGCTTTCTTGTTGTCGAGGGAGATCCTCTCTTTCCTCTTTCACCAGCCAAAAAGGTGGTTCAGTCCAACCCAATATATGGATGATATATAACTGAAAATATGTACAAGCAGAGCTTTTTTTGTAGAAAAAGCCCAGCAGGAACTCATTAGCATAATAGGCCACACCCAACAGCAGAAACTCATTAGCCTATTAGGCCACACCCCCATACCTTCCTTTGGCTTGCCTGGGCACCCCACAGTTGCGGGGAGCCCAGGCAAGCCAGCCCTCGGAGGGAAGGGAAGGCAGTTTAAACTGCCTTCCCTTGCCTTGCCCGAGCAAGCCCGTCCTTGGACAGGCCAGGGAAGGCATAGGGAGGCATTTAAATGACTCCCCGATCCTTCCAGGGGGCCCCTGGCCCGCCCACCTTGGAGTGGCCAGGGGGGGTCGCTCTCCAAGCCTTCCCTCTGTAGCCATGCATGCGGGGGTTTTGCCTGTAGTGGGCGTGACCAACTCTGAAGCCAGCCGGAACTCCGTTCCTGTGCGTTCCTGCCCAAAAATAGCCCTGTGTACAAGCATACTACAGAGTTACAAATTGCAGAAAACTCAAACTTGGTTATGTCTATCATGCATGCCGCATATTTTTGAAAAAGTCTTGTTATAGAAGTCACCCTTCCCTCTTGTTTAAAAGCCACCTTGAAGAATCTGTAAGAATGAATCCATTGGATGTGATGCCAAGATCTAGGATAGCTTCAATACTCACTGGGAGTGACTACGAACCAGACAAAAGCCAAGCAGGGATAAGCAGATGCTGGTCAAACGGAAACTGGAACTCTGACCTTTACAACAATGACAGTGATTTCAGATATTACCTTCACAGCACTAGCATTATTCTGAGATCCTCTGATGATGACTGTAGCACCATATGTCCGGGAACGTTGCTTAAAAGACACTGAAATGTTGTATGTCTGAGATATATGCTGAATGGTGGGAGAATTTGGATCTGGGATTGGTTGAAGGATTCCAGCTATAGGTAATTCAAACATTAGGACCAGTGGAAGCAGCTCCTAGAACACGATCAAATCAAACACAGAAAATACTCAGCACTAATTAAGAACCTATTTAGCCTATCACAAAGTTGCACATTGTGGAGCATTAGGTGTCCTGAAGAGCCCTTTCCTGTGGCATACAAACTTGCTTTCTGGAATTACGTTGTGCAATCATGGCCAGAATGGAGCAGGATTGTTACCCTGCTAAACGTTTAACCATCTGAATAAAAACTCAACTCTTAGGAACAGTAAAGCACATAGTTCTAATGATCCCAATACAATCAAATGAAATTTTAAGGCATAATACAGATCAGCTTCAATCAGTGGTTCATACATAAGATGATAATAAAATACTACGGACACACATGAAAGAGCACTGAAAGCGAACTAGAAAGCAGCACAAAGTTTTTATTCGATCCTCTATGCTTAAGGCTTTGGTGGACTTCCACGGATAAGCTGTTATATAAAACCCAAGTTGTAGGTCAGAAGGCTCAGGACCTTAATAATGGTGAACATGTGTACCCTTTCATTTAAAGAAGAACCACGAGGATCTTCCATCATCATCTTTCCTCAGATTTGGAAATAAAATATGGGAAGGGGAGAGGTATATTGTAAAAACACATTTGGAACACAGCTCTGAATTGTACTCATGCCCCTCAAATCAAAATGCTTCCATGCACAGCTGTAGTACTATTATCTGCTTTAGCAACCTTTGACTAGGGAATGCCATTACATGGGTGGGGGGAACTAAGTCAGTCAAAGATCTGTGATCCGTAGAATGTGTAGTTTTGATGCACCCCATGTGCAGCAGCACTACAGAAGGCTGGGCCTTTTCGTATACCCTCTGTTCACCCCTTCTGCTTATAGGGATACTGCCCTGGATTCTCTGATCTCATGCAGGGGCCAACAGTGAATGTGATCAGCTATAATGGCTATTTTAAGTCTCCAGATTGTAGCCTGTGTGACCCTTAATGTTCTTTTGGTACATGCAAGCAACACATACTGTGGGACTGAACACATTTCCTTCAGCTGCAAGCCTACAAGTAATTAGAATTAGCATAAAATTCTGATTCATTTCAAGTGTCTTACAGAAGATTATATCAAGTTTCAGTCCCATATTTACCCGTATTCTAGCTCTGGCAGACTCAACTCCGGCTGGCTGTCCTGCTATAGACACCTGTGGAAATCGGAAAAATTCAATTCTAACCATGATCGTATGGTTCTGATTCAAAGCTGTAATTCTACTGGCAGCCTTAATATTTAAAAACACAATTAAAAGGCAACTGTACCTCCAGAAGCTCCAGTATATTGTAGAACAATTTTCTAATTATAACACTTCTCATAAAATTTAAGGATTAAATACTAAAACATACAATTTAGGACATGAAATTGGGAAGCGATGCGCTGGAAGATCATTCTGAGATAGAAGTATTTAAACTGTTTTATGTGCAAAATCAGACTGGATGATAGGCAGCTTTGGAAGAGTTTAGAGAGATTTATGAGAGACGTGTGCTCCATATCACAGATTGCCACGGGTCTTTGAAACATATCTGAAACCATATAATCAGCTGGGCAAGTATTTTATCTGGCTATGTAAAATCACGGGGTGCTGCCGTTACTGGCTCAAGGTTGCCACTGCAGGCACACAACCACAACAGAATGGACTGTCATTTACCGCAAGTCTAATGTTTGCAGCCCCATCACTAAGGAAAGCAGCCTAATGAAGCCTTAAGGAATGGCGAAGCAACCTAGGCATGCCGTTGCCACTCCCTTGGTTCACGTTGCGGCTATTCCTGAGCCTGCGCTGTCTGTTTTGTGTTTTCTATTTGAAACACCTCTCTGCATCGTGAGCCGGTGACTGCATCATTCTAAAGAAAGACTTGTACTTTCAAGGACTTAGGTAAAGGTTTCCTGTGCTCGAAAGCTAGTCGAATCCAACTCTAGGGGGCGGTGCTCATCTTGGTTTCCATGCCAAAGAGCCAGCGCTGTCCGAAGACTTCTCTGTGGTCATGTGGCCGCCATGACTAAACACCAAGGCGCACGGAACGCTGTTACCTTCCCACCGAAGTGGTACCTATTTATCTACTTGCAATTTCTTGCTTTCGAACTACTAGGTTGACAGGAGCTATTCAACTGGTGTAGACGTTATATTTCTGCACAGTGGCAAAACCATTACTGTGCAGACTGTTTATATTTGTAATTAGAACTGTATAAGAAGACAGAAGTCTCTAGTGTAATTTGTACAGTGTGACAGATTATTCTGTTTGTTTGTTTGCATAACTGTAGGCACAACGCCTATAGAAGAGTTGTGATTGTACAAACTGCAAAAAGAAAGCTTTGGGTGTCCCTTAAAAATGGACTCTGTTGGTATGTTATCTATAGTCTGCCATACTAAGTGTGAGTCAAGGTGGATTACCAGGGTTGACAGGCAGGGCCTGGCAACCAGCGAGAGGGTTCTGGGTGGGCCAGTGGGGTGCTGTGCTGTTGCATGCAGCACTATATTGGCTAAAACCCAGAAAGGATAAAGGATAGCTCTAGGAATCTGGCAATTCCTATAACTACCCCTTTTCACATCTGGGAAGAATTTCTGGGAAGAACCCAAGGCTGCAGTTTTTAAGTACCCCCCTCCACTACTCAGAGCAGCAACAAGGGATCGGAGATCCTGCCCCCCACCTAACTGGCGTCTTCAACAGACTCCCTGTTAGGGAGATGGGGCTGAGAGAGCTCCCTCGAAGACTGCTCCTGAGAGAATAGCTCTGAGAGAACTTGTGACTGACCCAAGGTCACACCAGCAGCTGCAAGTGGAGGAGTGGGGAATCAAACCTGGTTCTCCCAGATTAGAATTTGCGCTCCTAACCACTACACCAGACTGGCTCTCCGTAGATTGCACAGTGAAAGTCAGTGCAATCAATAGAATGAGGAGACAAACAATGTAATAGGACTGCAGAAATCTCAAACAAGGCATAAATATTAAACATTTAATGTGAAACAATGCCAGAAATGATATCATGTAAGTAGAAATATAATGCTGTGGGAGCTCAATAAAAATATACAGCAATCCCATTCCTCTACTGAAACATTTTCCTGAATCATTCTCTTATAATGCAGCCCTATTTCCTCTATAAAAATGTCCCTCCGGAACAGTTTTGTTTTATATAGTTTGTACCGCCTCTGATGGCCAATCTACGCATTTGGAAAGGGTACCAGGGATGGCCCTCTAGAGATGACAGCACTCCAAAAATTCAGGTGAGCACACCTAATGTGTGGTAAACTGCTGAAGTGATTTTTGCCAGACAGTGGAAATTGAACACAATCCCAGAAGAGGGAGAAACTGGATAACCAAAACTCTGGCAAGCAGCCAATACAGAAAAGAGAGAGCATGTGCATATGTAGCCAAATTTGGGAGAGGGAAGCTGTGGAGGACAACATGAATTCAACAACTAGATAAAATATGTTATATTCTGTAACGCCACATTTGGAGAGCCAGTTTGGTGTGGTAGTTAAGTGAATAGACTCTAATCTGGGAGAACCAGGTTTGATTCCCCACTCTTCCACTTGCACCTGGCTGGATGACCTTGGGCAAGCCTTAGTTCTGTCAGAGCTGTCCTTGAAAGGGCAGCTCTCTCAGCCCCACCTACCTTACAGGGTGTCTGTTGTGGGGAGGGGAAGGGAAAGGAGTTTGTAAGCGCTCTGAGACTCCGAGTGAAGGGTGGGATACAAATCTTCAGCTTCCAAAAACATTGACCACATTTTTAAAATATTCTGTAACATTTTGTTATGTTCTTGTTTACAGATAACACAAATAAAGAAACTAAAATAAACAGTTAGAAATGCAGATTGATACGTTTGCAAGAAAATAATCCTCTAGATTTTTAAAAAAATGCCTGTGGAAAACTGGCACATCAGAGAACAAAAAGTTCTAAACCACTTGACCTGCTATTTATGGGGAAGTGTTCAAACATTGACAATCCTCTTAAACACCATCTTTCCCTCAAAATGTAGAGCAGTTCTATTTGAGGAACGCTTCTGAATACGAAATAAAACAACGCCCTGACCAATATCTATGGCTAGAATAGATGAAGAGACTTGGAGAAGACTCACTTGATTACTCTTCTCCGCTTGGTTATTTCTATTCGAGTCTGGGAAATGGATGTGGCAACCCGTCTCCTCCATCACCTTTTTAATATTATTGCCTCCTTTGCCAATCACATGAGAGTGCTCTGTGTGAGACACATCCATCTTCAAGGTGACTCGATTACTCTGCAAAAGGGTCGAAATATCTGTTAGTGCATTTCCCTCATGATATAAAATAAATACTAAAGTTGCCTCTCCCTCTCACTTAGGGTTGCCAGCTCCGGGTTAGAGAATATCTGGATATTTTTTTGGGGGGTGGGGAGAGCCAGAGAGTGGGGTTTGGAGAAGGACTTCAATGGGGTATAATGGCATAGAGTTCACCTTCCAAAATGGTCATTTTCTCCATGTGATCTGTCACCTGGAGATGGGTTGTAACCCAGGAATTTCAAAAACAACATCCGTGACAAAAATAACAGAGTCAATAAAGGTAAGTTGCAAGAACGTTTACTGTAGTCATTTCTGTAGAAAATTTTCTTCTATTATTGCTCACACGCTAATTAATACTGTGCAATGAACAATTCGTTTGACAATATTTGCTTTATCTGTGAAGACCTTGGGTTCCGTTATTAGGGAGTCAACATGGAATGTTTCCTTCAAGAGTTGATAAGTAGTAATTGAAAAGAATCGGGATTGCTACATGCTCAGATGCAGTTTTGTGTAGTGGTTAAGTGCGCGGACTCTAATCTGGGAGAACCGGGTTTGATTCCCCACTCCTCCACTTGCACCTGCTGATGTGACCTTGGGTCAGTCACAAGCTCTGGCACAGCTGTCCTTGAAAAAGAGCAGTTTGTGTCAGAGTTCTCTCAGCCCCACCCACCTCACAGGGTGTCTGTTGTGGGGAGGGGAAGGGAAAGGAGTTTGTAAGCCACTCTGAGACACCTTTGGGTAGTGAAGGGCGGGGTATAAATCCAATCTCTTCTTCTTCTTCAGATAAAACAAATATTGTGAAATATTGTGAAACGAATTGTTCATTGCGCAGTATTCGATAGCGTGTGAGCGATAATAGAAGAAATTTTTCTACAGAAATTACTACAGTATACGTTTTGCAACTTATCTTTATTGACTCTTCGTTATTTTTGTCATGGAAGTTGTTTTTGGAATTCCACTTCCTCCCGTGAGCTCTCATTTTTGACTACCACCTGGAGGCTGGCATTCCTACTCATACCTCATAAAACAGTTGGGTTATATACAAAATTTTCGTTTTCACTTTTGAATACCATCCTCCCAACCCCCAGTTTCTCATTTCCCCTTTTTTGAACAGTGCGAAAAATAAGACAACGAAGTTTTATGCAGTTAACTGAAGATTTCAGTAAGAAAGAAAGGGCAGTCCTGTGGCACCAGAAAAATAAAAATGGTAAAGGAAGATTCCCTGGGTTTGAGACCACTAAGTTGGGAAGTACGAATGGTAACTGACTGACATCTGAAATGTGAACTCAAGAGTCTCATTCAGAAAACCAATGCATTTTCGGCGTTCCTTAGCTAAGTACTAGTATGCAAACATGGAAGAATAAATCAGCTTTTAAGAAACAAACAAACTCTGAGCTCTTGAAAAATGGTTGACGCCTCCCCCCCACCCCGTGAGCAGCATTACAAGTGAACCTTGACATTACTTGATCAAAACCCCAAAGAAAGAATTTGATAGAGGACAGCCCATGAGAACCAATCTTAGATTTCTGGTAGTCATTTTACCATAAAACGAATTTGGAGTTAGTTGGGGGGGGGATCCTCTCAGTCATGAATATCTAAAGGCAAACTGAGAAGTTACTACATTACTCCTTACAGGTTTTCCTATTGGTATGATGCCATCAATTCCATAATTAAAAAAAACTTTTTGAGAAATTCAAGGAGAAGGACAAAATCATTAACTGCAGTAAAATTCAGTTGGTTAGCCATGTTCGTCTGAAGCAGGACAACAAATTTGATAAAGTGTGCGTGCACACGAAAGCTCATACCTAGAATAAACCTTTGTTGGTCTTAAAGGTGCCATTGGACTTTAAATTTGCAGTAAAACATGACAGCTAAATTAAACCTCCATTTACAGTGACAGTATACCTCTGGCTCTCAGGTGCTTAGGATAAAAAGGAAGTGGCTCATCAGGGGCACCTGGAGCACCCCTGCTCGAAACAAAGGATGGAACTGAATGGCTGTTCTCATATTCGCACCCACTTCACTTGGGTGTCTAACAAGGCTGCCAACCTCCAGATGTTGGCTGGACATCTCCTGGGATTACTGATCTCCAGGCGACAGAGATCAGCTCACCTGGAGAAAATGGCTGCTTTGTAAAGTGGATTCTATGGCATTATGTCCAACTAAAATCCCCTCCCCAAACCCTGCCTTCCTCAGTCTCCACCCCCAAAATCTCCAAGTATTTCCCAACCCAGAGCTGGCAACCCTCATGTCCAAGCTTTTTTTCCTCCCTGCACCAGTGCCTTTAATAGCATCCAGAGACAGAGAAAGAAAAAAAACCCACTTTACATGCTAGATTTAGATGCTCTGACCTGCTGTTCAAGACACAGAAGCAGCGTCACAAAAAAGCCACAATCATACATTTCCCACAAAGCTCGTGCCTACCTCTGTTTATCAGCAGCCAGAGATTTAGACTGTGGAAACCTGTAAGTCTGTGCCTCTCCCCTTCCTCCCATGGCTCAGAAATTTATCTCTTCATGGCAAACTATTGCCTGCCGTTACACTTAACTCACAAATTATTAGTTTGATCTGTTGCCTCCAGAAGTAACAAACTACAGTTTGCCGTGCAAGTAGATGATTGGCTTCCAAATTCCAAATCAAGCGCAGGAGGAAGACCAAGTAGCTCTAGTACAAGTCCCTCACAACAACCCACAGTTTGTTGTTGCTATGTGGATCAGGCTATTAAATTGATTAATCTGGGATTGCGCCTCTTGACCAATGCAAATCCTCGCTCACATTACATTTCGGCTCCACACTAAGGAGCCTATATAGCCATGGCAACCTGCTGTCCAAAATCCAGGCGACAATTCTTGGATTTCTGGATCTTGTAGGTCAAATTATAAGGATGTAAATTAGAAGAAATCCAATTTTAAAAGTTCAAGTCACTCCAACAAGACCACACCTCTCTTGAAAAGCCACCAATGATTGGCACGACCAAGAGACTAAAGCACACCTGTGGTATTTTAAGGTCAAGACACAATAATGACAATCCTGTCCTTATATATAAAAGAATTTTCGCAGGGCAACATTCTATGCCCGCCAAAATTAGTTGGCTCTGTGATATGTCAATCACAGGGTGTCTCTATCCACTGGCTGCGTTGCCTGAGTTCTCTCCCACTCACTGCAGCCTAGGCCACTCTTCTCTGATTGGGCCAGCGTTTCAAGGTCATCTGCATATGGAAGCTGATTGGACTTCACTGCATTCCGCCCCTCAAACTCCCCCCCGTTTGCGTACTCCCCCCGTTTGCATATGGAGACTTTCCCATCCTCCTTTGCATCAATCTGTCTTTGTTGGCAACCCTAGGCCTGCCAGCACTCTCAGGGTGACTTCATGCCTCCTGACTGGCATTACTTCACTAGCCCTGGCTGCTTGCTCCTGTTCAG